ATATGCAGGGTGTGAAAAACTGCAGAATGCTTCCTGGAGGTTCAGTAAACTACCTCATACGTTGCCATGCTACACCCTCCTCTGCTGTGTCAGGGACCAACTTCTAAGGGCCCAGCATTCCCAATCTGGCAAGTGGCAAAGTTCCTTGTGCAGAACTCATTTGTGCCACCAATCCCCACAAAAAGGCAAGGCTAAAGTTGCTGCCCATCAGCTTATCTGGGCCTGAAACCAGTTTACAAGACCAAGGTTTGGCCGCAGAGCATGTGAAAAGATTGTTTCTCTGTAGGTACAGAGTGCTATAGATAGTTCCTACTTGTTCCTGAGACCAAGGGCTTGAAAGAGGTTCCTTTCTTGGCTGCAGATTTTCAGACAGCCTTGAGGGATGCTGCATCAAGCACAAGAAAGGATCTTTTATTGAAACTTCACCATGGTTCTTTTAATAAGCTGAAGGAGCTGCTGCTGTTTTGATAAAGATCAGAAGTTGCAAAAAATGTTGCAGCCCTAAGTCTCTGCTAATAGGACTTACACACCTGCATAACTGGGCAGTAGGCTTATTTTTATGAAAGAGCTTCCTGTGACAAAGCACCATCTTAAGAAGCAATTTCTCTTCTAGAGGGAAAGCATACTTATTGTTTTCAAAACACTTTTACTGGTGTGCAGATTTAGTTTGCTGATTAATTAACCTGCTTTGGAAGTGAGTTGATTTAAATAAATTGTAATGATGTTGCAGTCCAAGTTTTATTAAAAACATAGGCTTGCAAATGTTGCTTTGGTATAGGCAAAGATCTTGGGGTGAAGGAGAGGATGGCACAGCTTAAAGGAGGAAGCTATATACTAAATGCTTAGCATGGAATCTGAACCCGCTTAACAGGAAACTTTCCACAGTGCTTCTAAGAGGTATTTAGGTTCAGACAGCAGCAGCAGCAGCAGCAGCAGCAGACGTCTCACGGAAAGGGCACACAATTATCTGGCTGCCCTTAAGACCCATTTGAACTTTCAGCATAGCTGCTAAGGGCAAGGTGTCACGCAACTGACTTCAATGGCACAATGGGAATGAAGCAATAATGCAGCTCCAGAGGCAAACAAGGCTTGAAGTCAAAAGCTGTACGAGCTACAGCTCTGCCAAAATGTGCTACCACTTAACCTCAAGCAGAGATGGGCTACTGCTTAAGCAGCCAAAGCACTAACTATAACAGACTGTACCAGTGCTCACATAAGTGAAAACATGTCCCTGGCCAGCCAGACGGGGAATGTCCTGCGTATTGTGTTTGGGTGGGAGTTGAAATCTCTCCTGGAATTCTTGACCACCAGGTGGCACCGCATCTCCAATAACTGCTGATTTGTTGGAAGCATCTGGGCTGCTGCTGCTGCTGCTGCTTGCCACCACCAATCATGGAACTTTTGAGGAGAGAAAAACCTTATTCTCATCCAAGCACAGAGAACATAGCATGCTTCTTTATACTTTATGTCAGACTATTTATCCATCTAGCTTAGGACCTAACCCCTTTAACTAGAAATCACAGGGTTACCATCTTGGGGCCTTTTGTACTCATGTGCAAAAGGGGCCTTTCCTCTGTATTTAACCAAGGATAGAATCACAGAACTGTAGGACTGGAAGGGACACAAAGGGTCACCTGGTCCAGCCCCCTGCAATGCAGGAATTACATCCCTGACAGATGGCCATCCAACCTGCTTAAAAGCCTCCAGTGGAGAACCCACCATCTTCTTCTGAAGTAGTCCATTCCAATATGGAACAGCTCTTACCATCGGAAAGTTCTTCCTAACATTTAGTCAGAATCTCCTTTCTTGCAGTTTGGTTTGGGTCATATGCTCTGGAGCAGCAAAAAACAAGCTTGCTCAGTCTTCCATGTGACAGCCCTTAATTGATATTTGAAGACAGCTATCATATCACTTCTCGGACTTCTCTTCTCCAGGCTAAACATACCCAACATCCTCAACCATTCCTCATAAATTTTGATTTCCAGACCCTTTATCATCTTGGTCACCTTCCTCTGCTCATGTTCAGCTTGTCAATGTCCTTAAAATGTAGCGCCCAGAACTGGACACAGTATTCCAGGTGTGGTTTGATCAAGGCAGAAGAGATTGGAACTATTAGTTCTCTTGATCGGGACACTAGACTTCTCTTGATGCAACCTAGAATTGCATTGGCTCCCCCCCCCCCCCCCGCTGCACCACACTGTTGACTTATGTTAAACTTGACATCTACCAAGTTTAACCCCTAGATCCTTTTCACATGTGCTGCTGTCAAACCAGATGTCCTCATCCTATATTTGTGCATCTGATGATTCCTGCCTAAGTGCCTGACTTTGTCCCCTGCTGAAATTCATGTTGGTTGGTTGTTTTGTCCAGTTCCCCAATCTGTGCAGGTCATCTTGAATCCCGATTCTATCTTTCTCTAACTCCCATCATTTCTGGGCAGCGGACAGGCTGGCTGGGGCAGATGGGAGCTGGGAGTCAAACAGCAACTAAAAAGTCACATTCCCCATCCCTTCCATCAAGCTATTCCCCCCAAACCCATCTGTCTCCTTTCCTGTGTCTAAGGCTCGGATGAAGAACCTGTGTTCCTCCAGATGTTTCTGAGTTCCTCCCTCCCACTATCCCTGACCACTGGCAGTGCTTACAGGGGCTGGTGGAAGTTGGAGGTCAGCATCTGGTTCCCCATCCTTGACCTAAACTGCAAAGTATAAGTAAAATAAGAGAAGAATGTATGCAAACTGTTAGTATTTCACTCCTCCCATTTTAAGGATCATCTGATCCTATTGTTTACTTTCTGTTCCGTGAGAAACGAAGCCTGTCTGTGTGACTTCTGTCTCTGGTACTGCAGTATTGTACTTTTTCTTTCTGCTCTGGCTCTGTCTTGCGACAAGACAGGATGTCTGTATGAGGGCTGCTCCTCTCATACGTGTTATGTTTGTTTGTTATGTTCTTTAATCTGCAATTGGTAGAAATAAAGTAGGTATGCCCAGATACCTCCTCACCTCTGTCTGCGCTGCTTTACTCTGCTACCGGGTGCTCACAAGAGAGCAGCTGTGAGTCCCAGAACACCTTCCCAGGAATGCTGTGTAGCTGTTCCAGTTGCCGGAGGAGGCCATGGGGCCTGCAGGAGTATTCCATTACAAATACCCACTTTTAACTCTTTTCCCCCAGTAACATACGCAGCTCTTGGCCCCTTCCTTGGCTACACTGACACTTAACTGAGCCAAGTTTCTATATTAGCATGATTTAGGATTATTTTTCTTTATGCAAAATGCTGAGGTTTAAAAGCACCTCAGGATACAGCATGCAACTTTGCAGATAAGACATTGATTGGCTGACTGGAGTGATCAGACCAGTCTATAGAGCTCATGTTTGCCACAGACCTGCATAGGCTCCATCTGGCTATGTACAGCACCAGACTGTAGGTCACAGCTGGCTCGGCTTCCTGAGGGTGGAACAGGCAAATGCAGCTACCAACCTTGACTACCACAGGGAGCAGGCAGCTGTCTTGACAGAGGCAGCAGGCAGAGGCTGCTCCCAGTCCTGCTGGTGGGAGGAAAAAAATGGAATGTGCTGGCCTACAAAGAGAAGCTCTCTGTGCTGGAATGCAGCCTGCCCCAAGGAGTCATCGGCTGTTGGCTGAACCACAGCTGCTCACTCGTTTACTCCACAAAGCAGAAGGGGAGGCTCCTCTTCCTTGTTCCTGCTTGCACCCTCCCCTTTCCCAATTTGTCAAGAGAGAAATTACAGGCAGCAAAGCGAACCAACTCTGCTGTCACACTAGCCTAAATCATGCCAATGGCACAAGGCAGTTATTTCACTGCTTTTTAAAAAATGAAAAGGCTTGCTGGGTAGCTTTCGGGGGCTTGCAAAATGGTTTTTCACTATACAGTGGTACCTCGGGTTACATATGCTTCAGGTTACAGATGCTACAGGTTACAGACTCCGCTAACCCAGAAATAGTGCTTCAGGTTAAGAACTGCTTCAGGATGAGAACAGAAATCCTGCTCCGGTGGCGCAGCTAAAGTGGTACTTCACGTTAAGAACAGTTTCAGGTTAAGAACAGACCTCCGGAACGAATTAAGTACTTAACCCAAGGTACCACTGTATATCCAAGGAATGGAATCACTGCTGCCAACACTTTTGGGAGCTTGGCCACTGGCAAAGTCACTCAATGTGTTGATAATTCCGCCCTCCACCTTTAATAAGTGGGGTTTTCTCTCTTCCAAAAATACATCAACTGTTCACTTCAGTGCCCCCAGAAGTGGCTAATCTGTTGGATTTCCTTGCTGCACTTGGCTTTCAGCTCCTTCTCAAGCCAAGCAACAAGCCCATCTCAGAAGCAGCTCTCTCTCAGCTGCTCCTGGGTGAAGCTGGAGCTGGAGCTGGAGCAGGTCCCACCTCCTTTCCCAGGTGGAAGTGGAGAGTGCCAGATGCAACACACACAAACTATTCCCTTGAGGAATAGGTTTAGTAACAGCTATTAGGCAGACTAGCAAAGAACAGAACTTCCACCATCAGAACAGACAGAGCTGGTTCTCCCTGTACAATGAGAGCACTTGGGTGGTGGCTCCTTTTGGGAGGCAAGTCCTGAACTAAATAGATGTGTCCTTCTGCAGGCCAACTTATGATCCTTACTCACATAACAGAACCGTTTATTTTTTTTGGGAGCTCCCACCTCCAACTTAACACCTGTGGTGAGGGGAAGACTCACGGCATGGACTGACTGGTGTGGCAAATGCAGTCCACACTGTGCTCAGACACAGTCGCTGTGCCATAACTTGCCCCAGGCTTAAGCTTTGCAACCAGCATGTGTTGAACCATGGACTTTTATCTCCAATACTAGGCCCAGACCAGCAGGCATGATGACCGCACCCAGCACAGCAACCTTTGCCACGGGGTCAAAGCTTCTCCCATACTCAATTGGCAGACACATTCACCAGAATCCCCGTTTCCTGACTATTACAGGGATAGTAAGCAAGAAATGCTATGACACTGGCAGATAATAGAGATTATAGATATTTATTTGTCACGTTTTGACCTCCAGCACATTCCACACAGTTTGGGGGGGATCGCTGGTAGAGACTGTATTGCTACAATTTATTTATTATTTATTTCATAAAATTTATATACCGCTTGATTGTAGAAAAAAACCTCAAAGCGGGTTACAAAAGGGACAAAAGCAAAATAGAGCATTAGCATGAGGGATCACTTCCTCAGGAGAAACAGAGAAAAGCCTGTTTTGAACCAGCTTCTCCCCAAGCCATCAACTGTACCAGAGCAGGGCAGCAGTCCAAGGAGAACAGGCACACAGCATGGACCTCTTTGCCCATGGAGTCCACAGGTCCGTCCTGGAAAGAGGCCAGCCGAAGGTCACCTGCTGTGTCTAGATATTACTTCTGGGGAGAAGAGGCCTCAGCAGCCCACCCTGAGAGACGCACAAATATCCAACACGTAGCTTCCACCCTACTCCTCCCAAACCACCAAAGCTTCCCCCGCCGACTGTTTGACAAGCTAACTTAGCAGGAGACCAAGATCATCAAAGAGGAGTGCATTCTACCACTGCACCACACTCTGTTGCCTTCATTTTTAATTATTCTGAGGCACCAAAGCCAGCCCCACCTTCCTACTCAGAGTCCTCTGGAGCAGCTGGGGAGGAAAAGGCAACAAGAAGCAAGGGGTTCTGGGAGGCTGCTCACAATTGCTTAATGCAGATCAGTTCATCCTTCGGGTACTTTAGATCACCAACTGACCCCTTTTTTAGTGTGAACGGCCCTAAGGCTTTGATGTAGCCCACCTTAGGCATAGAAGTGAAGCAGAGCAGTGGCAGTTCTTACACAATTAACCAACTCTAAGTTAGAGGATGTAGTTCTTCATGTTACTTGTGCTTCTTCCCCGAGCCCAACCTGGCTGAGGCCTGCCATGCAAAGTGAGGCAGGGGACTTCCCTGAGCAACCCTGGCTCAGAAGCAGGTTAGTTCCTGCCGCTGCGTAGCACTTGCTGCTCAATTCTGCTGGCTTCCCTCATTTTTAAAGGTAGGCTTACTACTACAGCAATGGCTCTCAGGGAACTGCTCTACATGGGTGCTGGGAGAGGACAGGAGCGCCATTCTAAGCTAGGGGAGGTGACAGGGCCTGGGCTGAACCTGCAAACACCTAGTGTGACTCGCTTGGAGGTCACAGCAGGAAACAGCAAGAGCGTGCTACCAAGGACCAGGGCTGCTGCTGCTGCAAGCAGGGGGAGCCTGGGTGCTTTCTCAAGTCATGCCTCCCTAGCTGACATATTCTGCACATGTGCTTCAGAACACACCCTTTGCCCTGTGCTAACCACAAAGGACCTTTGTTAACCTAAGGAAGGCTCTGAGGAAAGTTTTTTAGAAAGTAAGTGGCTGAAGAGAAGGCTTGTGCTGTTTGCCCTTCCTGAGAGTGCTTCAGGGGGCTGAAGCCTCACCTGCTCCGACCCGCCTACAGTAGCTCAAGTGAGACTCCAAACATAACATGCCCAGGGCAGAAAGAATAGCCTGCAAATATTGCCCCTTTCCTGAGCGGGCCCATACCAGACAGGAATCCACCCACGGTCCCCATTTCTGACACCCTTAATTCTCCCATCTATCCAAGGAGCTACCAGATCTCCTCTAGTTTCCCTGGTTCCTCAAGGTACTTTTCTCATGGCAACAAAGTGGTCCCCCAACCCTCAGAATCCTAGATATTATTTTATTTGTTCTGCCTCCCAAGCTTAACAGCGAAAGCTCACAGCAGGCAACCCACCCAAGGCCGTCACAGTTGCTCAGCAGAGGTGGGCCTGAGCCAGCCACCGCTCTGCCAGGGCCCTGCACAAAGTGGGCAAGGGCTCAAAAGGCACCCGCAGTGGCAGCTGTGACCCAGCTATTCTAAGGCTTAGAGGACCCCAACATGTCCTGCTGGCAATTCATAATTAGCTACTGAAAAGCACAAGGTTGAAAGGAGGACCCCTCCCCATCCTCCCCCCAGCAGGGTAACTGTCCCATAATCCCATCTTCAGACCCATCCCTGGGCCTTGTGTGCTTTAGTGTTTTGTCTGGTATCAAAAGGTGTAAAGCTGCAAGAAAACAGGCTGCACTTTTAGCCAATAGCGTCATAGGATTCTGCATTAAAATATAGACAGTTCTTCCCAACCCCGCGCCAAGGTTTACAAAAGCTTCTATTTAATCTGCTGCTAGCTTTGCAGGTAATTATCTATAACGTGCAACTCCACCACCTGCCCCAGTTCCAAAGAACAAAGCTGCTTCCGTGCCCTTCTCTCCCCATTCCCATTCCCACCCCCCAGCAAATGCACCCAAGGAGTTGCCACATTGTTCTTGATGCAGTTTTGAAAAGCAACAGCTACTGCCAGTAGCGCCATCTCTGAGGGAAGGAAAGGCACTCATAATACAGAGACACAAATAATACAGTTTGAAGGCTGCCACAGAAAGCCCTGCCTTCTGCCCATGTCAGGGGGAGGAGAAGAAAAAGCAACCTCCAAAATAGTTCATCTGTAGAAAAATGCCCTTCTGGACTAGAAAAAGGGAAAATGCAGATCAGGGCTCTGGTTAAGGCCAGATATGGGTTTTCCATTTCTCAGCTGCAACACAAAACAGCCCAGAAACGAACCCAAAGAGAAGACATTTTGGTTTCTTAGCAACAGCTTTTAGCACCTGCTTGCCTGCTTTGGGGGAGCCATTGTTTCAGAGAAGTGCTGCCCAAGAACACATAGGTGAGGGTTTCACAAGGTCAGACCGGGCCTTAACTTCCAGAAGGCACCTGTAGGCCAGGTGCACAGTCAATAATGAGTTCTACAGCTTCCCACCACCACCACCCCAAACAGGGCAACTTTACTTCCCTCAGCCTCCTCCTCCTCCTCCAGCACCACCACCTGCTCCCATCAGAAAAGGAACAAGGGAAGTGCTCAAGAGGGGAGGGACTTCTCAACTCAGACAGCCACATGATTCACAGACCATCTTCTCACCCCATCCACAGGGTGTCAAGTCAAAGGGGAGTTGAGGCTGAGATCAGCTGGAGGGGTGATGCCAGCTCAATGCCCTCCCCCTTCAGATAGCTCTCTGACCTATCGCGGCCAGGCCAAAACTCCATCAATCCGGAGAATGCTTATGAAGGGCAGGAAGTGTCTTTGGCCATGGGTGGAGCACTTCCTGGGCCTCTTCTCAGGCTCCTGGATGGGGCTTGCAGGGCTTAACAGTAGGCTCAGGAAAAGATGTGGCACTTAACAGGATCTCTCTCTCTTCCAGTTGCCGTTTGCTTCGCCCTTGCTTCCAGCTGGTTTGCAGAACAGTAAGACGGACACCAGGTGCTCCTTGCATTCCAGACTCCTCTGGGAGTGCAATAACTCCAGGACCAGAAGGGCACTGTGGGAGGAGGGGGAGAGAGAAGATGCTTAGTGCACTACTGCGCATGGATGTACGACAGAAAATACACACAACAGAGTAAGACACATTCAGCCTTGAGGGAACTCCGGTTTCCAGATATTTAGTATCACTGTTCCTTGAGCACCTCCATTTCTGAAGGTCTGATTCCCAGTTTAGAGCCAAAGCCTGAATCCACAGAGGTTTGCGAGCTTCCAGACTCCCACACCAGGCAAATGTAGGTTAATCTGCCCCCAACAGAGGCTCCATATTAATCCACAACTGTCAGATTGCTTCTAGCCCCAAAGCCCCAGGGATTGTGCATTGTGTAATTACTACAACCTCTTGGAAGCCCAGACTCTTTTCACTTCTTGGTTCAAGGCCTCAAATGCATCCTGTTACATAGGCTCATTCTGCCGTCAGTATCATTTCTGCTCCAACTTCCCTGAAGTCTCCTTCTTCCATATATGCACCCTCCTGCCCATCAGCACCTTCCATCCAAAGCAACCCTTATCTGCACATGGCAATAGAAATCAGAGTTCAGCAGAACTCAAGGAAGGGATGAGGGATGGTGTGAGACAGAGCGACAGCTCACAGCTGCCCATCACATCTGTCATATGGCCACAAGTATTGTACATTTCTGGTTACCCTAGTTTTGGGCCAGGAGGGAGGGGGAGAGGATTAACTCATCTTCTCTGCCATGTCCTGGTCATCCTCAAAAATAAGTATGAAACAGAATCAAACATGTGAAATGGTTTGCTAGCAATACTGTCTTGAAGACCGAAACAGGCACTAAATCTATGAAAGCAATGCTACAGAGAAGTTACTGTTCTGAGTCTACAAACAGCCTGTGGTAGTAACTGCATCCAGGTGATCAGGCAGAGAAGTATGGAAAGGGGCCCTTGCGAAATGATAGCTCACTGAATGCACGGAATGCATTAGGCCCTGGGCTCATTCCCTGGCACCTCCAGGTCAAGAATTCTCAGGCAGCACAGCTGGGAAAGAGTTCTGTCTGATCCTGGAAAACTGCAGCCATTCTGAGTAGAAAATAGTGGATTTTCTCCAATGAATCTGAAAAGACAGCTTCACAAGTTCTTTACAAAAGTTGACTCCTTTTTTATTTTAGGCCACACATAGCACACTTTTGAAGGCAAAGTATTTTTTATGTTCTTGTCCACAATTGGCTGACCCTTAAATAAAAGCATCTCTTAATTGGTCAGTTTCCATCTTTGCCACAGTTGGTGATGTCCAGCCTGCATGAATAATTAGGATTGCCAGACCATTGAATTTGGCGCACAAGGGCCTTTTGGGCAAATGATGCCCAGCTGGCAGTCACTTTACATGCATAGTGGAAATTTATTATCTGATCTACATCCTAAGTGCCAAGAGTGGAGATACGGGACACAGGTGGCACTGTGGGTTAAACCACTGAGCCTAGGACTTGCCGATCAGAAGGTTGACGGTTTGAATCCCTGTGACGGGGTGAGCTCCCGTTGCTCGGTCCCTGCTCCTGCCAACCTAGCAGTTGGAAAGCACATCAAAGTGCAAGTAGATAAATAGGTACTGCTCCAGTGGGAAGGTAAACGGCGTTTCCGTGTGCTGCTCTGGTTCGCCAGAAGCGGCTTAGTCATGCTGGCTACATGACCCAGAAGCTGTACACCGGCTCCCTTGGCCAATAAAGCGAGATGAGCACCGCAACCCCAGAGTTGTCCGCGACTGGACCTAATGGTCAGGGGTCCCTTTACCTTTTACCTACAAGTGCCAAGAGTGGAGATAAGGGAGCTCTTGAATCTTAGCCCGTAGCATCACAGTGCGGAGATCCAATAAGGTTATCTCCAGTCTTAGGTCTGTGGTGCTAAGATTGGATATAAGCCTTAGCGGCAGCTTTTTGTCACTGAAAAGCTAGCAGAAATGCTTCTCCCAACCGTAGCACTGTGGGACTACAGTACTAAGATTGGCAATAAGCCAGTGTCTGCTGCTGTGGCTGTAACTTTGAATTGTCTGATGCCATATGACAGGTGGGTGGCCTTGGAACTCCCTGCCTACAGACATCAGGGAGCTTTTTTCAGCACCTGCTTAAAGCATTTTTGTTAGGTAATGCAAGCCTACCCAGACATGCATAATGCTTTATTATGTTTTCTTTTTATTGTTTATGTCAATGGTGTTTGAATGTTTTAAATATTTGTTGCTAACAGCTTTTACTGATAACTTTATTGGTTTGCTCTTTTTCTAAATAAAACACCCCAAAAAAAAAAAAGTGCTGTGGGGTGCCCACACAAAGTGGCTGCCATGGGCAGCAAAAGAAGAGGTGCCAGCACTCCATACTGGTAAGTACTGTCACACACAAAAATGCCTGGCTAGAAGAATGGGGCCAGCAATAACTTACAAGGCATAAGGAAAATAGCCAGCAGGGAAGAACTCCATAACACCCATATATCGCCCTCCTTTTGAGGAAGAAGCAGGATTTCTTGTGCTGTACAGAGGGCATAAGCATTTTAGGAAATCCTGCTCCCAACACCTGCCACACACAATTCGGCTCAGTTTTGCCAACATGATTAGGAACTCATTCTTAGGCAAAGACTCCTATCTATAACCAAGAAGGAAAGGAGAGTTTGGGGCACATTTCTACTCTATGTCAGGAGTGTGGAACCTGTGGTTCTCCAGATGTCATTGGGCTACAACTTTCATCATATCTAACCCATGGGCCATGTTGGATGGTATTGATGGGCAGTGGAATCATCATCACCTGGAGGGCCACAGGTTCCCCACACCTGCTCTACAACCTCATTGTGTCTCAGGATGGAGGACAATGCTCTGAACACAAGAAACCTGGGAGGCCAAATGCTTTGCTAGAACAGAGGCACCTTTGACACAACCATCTGGGTGCCTGTTGCTGCTGTTTATGCTGTAGCCCCAGTGACATTAAACAGGTTTAGAGCTAGGCACAATAAACCACCATCTAACAGGTCACAACCCTGTCTAAAGACATTTGCATGAGGTGGTGGCAAAGGAAGGTGACCTCAGAAGTTGGTGGAGGGCAACACAGGAAAGGGCATCCACTGTGGCAACCCCTAAGCTGTGAAATACCCTCCTCACAGAAGTGTGTCTGGCACATTCATTATGTACTTTTTGTCAGATCCTAAATACACTCCCCACTACCCTGGTCTTTGACACCTAAGATATATATTTTAGGGCCACCTTATTCCCATGATTGTAATCCATCTGAAGTGGTTTCAATGTCATATTTTTAAATTGTTGTGACTCACCCTGGCACCTCATGGTGAAGGGTGGGTAAGAAATCCAATAAAATAATAATTTGCCCACTCTCAACCCTCCCAGAATCTGAATCACACATTTACAAAGGGACAACTTGCTTCCATAATACTGGACAAGCTTTCACTTCACAAAATCTAGGGCAAATACTTGGGGGAGAAGGGGGCCAAACACATGATTTTAAATGAATTACAGTAATGGGTTTAGTAATGTGTAAATTTATTAAATTTATTTTGAAAAATATGAATAGTTGCTGTGTGGGTCCCCCTGCACTGGGGGGGGGGGGTTAAGCCTCCCCACTGCTATGAACCTAAGAACTCCCCTCTGCTGCCTTTTGATTTTGCAGGAAAACTCTCACTGGATCCATTCCAGGCCCCCGCCCTCTAGACTAGGGGTTGTCAACCTGATCCCTACCGCCCACTAGTGGGTGTTTCAGGATTCTAGGTGGGTGGTAGGGGGTTCTATGGCACAAACTGAATCCTCCTTCCATCGAGGACTGGTGGGTGGTAGGGAAATTTTACCATCAAGAAAGATGCATTAGTGGGTGGTAGGTATAAAAAGGTTGACTATCCCTGCACTAAAAGGTAAAGGACCCCTGACCATTAGGTCCAGTCGCAGACGACTCTGGGGTTGCGGTGCTCATCTCGCTTTACAGGCCGAAGGAGCCGGCGTTTGTCCATAGACAGTTTTTCTGGGTCAGGTGGCCAGCATGCCTAAGCTGCTTCTGGCGAAACCAGAGCAGTGCATGGAAATGCTATCTGCCTTCCCGACGGAGTGGTACCTATTTATCTACTTGCCCTTTTTGACGTGCTTTTGAACTGCTAGGTTGGCAGAAGCTGGGACCGAGCAACAGGAGCTCACCCTGTCAAGGGGATTCAAACTGCCAACCTTCTGATCAGCAAGCCCAAGAGGCTCTGTGGTTTAGACCAGAGTGCCACCCGCGTCCCCACCCCTGCTCTAGTCTAGACCAAATTCTTCTCATGGGTCCCTCAATGGCTATTTAGGTTTTATGTATTTAAAGAATGCACACATTCAATGTAATAAATTAATTTAATGTCATAGCTAGTGCTGCCCATATTAACAGCAGCACCAAGATCAAAAAGATGCTGAGATGGATGGAATGGAGAATTATTATATCATACTCCTTGTGTTCCTCACACTTTCTAAGGTATTAAGCACTCATGGTTTGTTAGCTTGACCATGCAATCACTTTATGGCAGAACAGCTGGTGGGATTAAACCAAAGCTGGAGATTCTGATTCAGCACCTCAATACCTGAATTATTTTTCAGCCCTGTGTAGGTGTCAGGAACTGATTGGATGCAGAGGAATGGTGGGCAGAACCAGCCGGAGAACTTCCAATGGTAAAAGCCTCAGAGCCAGGAATTGGTGTGGGATGGCGATGAGAGGGAGAAGATGGGGAAAAGGAGGTGCTGGAAGCTGAAGAGGTAACAGGGCTTAGAGAACTGGGAGAGTCTGTGGTAGAGAGCAGTCCAGACTCAGAGGTAGAAGCTGAAGCTGAAGCAGGAGAGTGGGTTGAGGGAAGCCAAGAGGCAGAGATGAGTCAGGCTGGTGAAGAGTCACAGGTGTCTGTTTCCCCTTCTTGCTGTGGCAACCTCCCCCCGCTCCAGTCTCCCAGAACCAGGAGAGGCATGAAGAGGGTGGTGGAGAAATAATTTTTTTAATAATAATAATAATAATAATAATAATAATAATAATAATAATAATTATTATTTTATTATTTGTAACCCCCACCCATCTGGCTGAGTTTCCCCAGTCACTCTGGGAGGCTTACAACATATATAAAGGTAAAGGTAACAGTCGCGGACGACTCTGGGGTTGCACGCTCATCTCGCTCTATAGGCCAAGGGAGCCGGCGTTTGTCCACAAACAGCTTCCGGGTCATGTGGTCAGCATGACTAAGCCGCTTCTGGCAAACCAGAGGAGCGCACGGAAATGCCGTTTACCTTCCCGCTGGAGTGGTACCTATTTATCTACTTGCACTTTGACGTGCTTTTGAACTGCTAGGTTGGCAGGAGCAGGGACCGAGCAACGGGAGCTCACCCCATCATGGGGATTCCAACAGTCAACCTTCCGATCAGCAAGTCCTAGGCTCTGTGGTTTAAACCACAGCACCACCCGTGTCCCTACAACATATATATAACATAGTAAAATATCAAACGATAAACTTCCCTATACAGGGATGCCTTCAGAGGTCTTCTAAAAGTTATGTAGTTCTTTATCTCCTTGACATCTGCCTGGTTCCCTGTAACTTCACTTCTCACAGTAAGGGAACCAACAGAAGACTGTTGGAGGAGACACCTCAGTGTCCAGGCTGATCAATGGGGGTGGAGATGCTCCTTCAGGTATAATGGGCCGAGGCAGTAAATTAGTGCCATGCAGGTGCAGGCTCAGATTGCTTGGGGAAACCTGGGCGAGGAGAGGAATTAGGCAGCTGTTAGGAAGGAGGGACGTTCAGAGTCTGCAACCAAAGAAAACTTGCTAATGCTCATTAGGCCTGACACTTCTGTGCAGATCCTGTTGTTGTTTTTTCTAATAAAGAGTTTACTTCACTTATTTCATGTGATTTACTACTGGCTCACTCCTGATAGTAGGGGTAACCCTCACCACTGTGACTTTTCAGAACCTGTGACAATCTGAAATAGGAAAGTGCAGGGATTGGAGTTGTAGTGCAAAACATCTGGAGGGCACCAGGCTGGAGAAGTGTGGGTTGCATACATCCACCTACCTTTGTCAATCCTGAAGTTAACTGGGTACCCAGGTATGGTTGGAGGCCTGTGACGTGTTGGGATAGCTGGGAGCAGATGGAATGGGTTCAAAATTGAAGTCCAGTCCTTCTCCATCCATGAGGTCAGTGTTGATTATGTAATCCACATCACATTCAAGGTTTTCCATGTACATATCGTCCAAATCATTGGGCAATCTGTCCTGATTGCCTCCACAGGGGGCAAATGTAGCTGCAGACAGAAATGGCTGGGTGCCCAGCTGGACCGCCTGGGCAGGCTGTGTGGAGCCTGGTGCCTTCAAAGCTGACAGGCTGACTGTATTCTGAGGAGATGCCATTGAAAATGCAGTCGGCAAGGAAGCAGTGCCAACCGACTCCAGCTGCTGCTCTGGAGGCTTTCTTAATGGGTTAACTGGCCTCATCCTGTTTTTGGAGGACTGCTCCCCCAGAAGCAGAAAAGTCTGGCTGTTCAACCTGCCTCCGCTCTGCGGGAGGATCGGATCTACCTGTGTCATCATCACATCACTGGGTGGTGGTGAGTTGGATGTCAGGAGGGCTTCCAGGGTCTGTGGGCCAGAGAAGTGGCTGGCAGAGCTGTGCAGAGAGATATCAACAGGGTTGAAGAGGGAGCTGCCAAATGACGATGCCTGAGCAGCTGAGCTCTGGCTTCGCAAGGAGAAACTGGGATTCCTCTGTGCCAGACCGCCTGGAGAAGGCTGCTGAGTTGACAGCAAGGATGAGCTTGATGACATCAGATTCAGGCCGTCAATGAGTTCCAGCTCCTCTGTCACTGTGGGTGGGACACTGCTAGATGCGCTGGAGTAGACAAGGGATGGAAGGAGCGCCTCGTCTCCAAGGTCATCTGGCTCAGTTAGGATGGGGGAAAGCCTTGCACTGATGGTGCTGGCATTGGAGCTGGTCCGAGGCCGGATGCTGGTCCACACATCAGAGTCCTCGTTGCTTCTGGAAGAAGGGCTGCCAGGCCACTTGGAGTACTGGGAGCCTGGGCTGTCGGCAGTAGATTCCGGGGCCACTGGCATGACTGCCTTCTTCCTGGGAGCTTTTCCTCTGGGCTTGACCAGCTTGCTGCTGTTGTCCATGGAGGCTGCTCTCCTCCGTGGGGCCTTTCCACTCTTGCCGCCTTCTGGATTCAGCATCCACCAAGAGCTCTTCCCTGTAGCCTCGTTGTGCACTTTAATGAACTTGCTATGCAGGGAGAGGTTGTGTCGGATGGAGTTCTGGAAGGAAGTGGGAAAGGGCAGTGTGTTAGCATCATTCCCATACAGCCCATTAGACCAGGGCTTCCCAAACTTGGGTCTCCAGCTGCTTTAGGACTCCAACTCCCATCATCCCTGACCACTGGTCCTGCTAGCTAGGGATAATGGGAGCTATAGTCAAAAAACAACTGGAGATCCAAGTTTGGGAAACCCTGCATTAGACCATTCTCCTCTCTCAAGCAGATATGGACAATCTTTTACTCTCACCCCCATATTTAATTTATGTATTTAAACTATGTTTAGCCCACTCTTTATTTTTTTTTAAAATGTGCATCCCAGAGAGTTACACTAAGCACCGTAACACACGAATGAATGAATAATGGAAAGAGTTAACATTCAGAGCAAATGAGCAGCAATAATTAATCCAAAGGCCTGGGTAAACTCACAAAATGCATAATAGTGGGTGCCAGCCTTGTTTGGGGGGGGGCAGATTCCATAATAGAGGAGCCTGGACTGGGAATGCCCTCTCTCATGAAGCCCCACACTGAATTTCAGGTCTGTAACTCCCATCACCCTTGGCCACTGGTCATGTTGGTTTATGAGTGATGGACATTCAAGAGCAACAAGATCTGGGGGAGGGGGAAGTTGTCACAGGTTCTGTGTCCTTGCTCAACATAGACTTTAGCAAAAAACAAAAAGGAAGAGGCATTGCTTGGCATAAAAGTCCATGAACATGCCTTTTTTTTCTATACCAATCTAGAAAAAAACCTGCACCCAGCATTTTAAGACTGACATCAGAGACTAAGGTGACAGAAAAGGCAATTTGCCTTTCCCACTGTAAGCAAAGATGTTTGGGAACTTCTGCTTGGGAAGTTCAAACCAACATAAATATGAAGGAATATCCAGGAAGCAGGGTACAGCAGTGAGCCAACAGTCATGCAGTGAGTTGTCCTTTCACAGCTGCCCTCATGGAAAAACTATCTAAACAAATGAGACAGAGATGTAATCCAACCAACAAAAAGGCACTTTCCAGGAAAGTTGCTTTTGCTTTCTTTCTTATGTGCTGCAAATGTAACATGATTGAAGGCTACCATTGACCTGAGCATCATTACTGAGGGATACTTTAGGATAATTTCTAATGTCTTTACAAATTCATTGAAATGAAACTGTAATCATTTACTTGAGTGCAAAGAACATTTGAGAACATGAATACAGCGGTGCCTCGCAAGACGAAATTAATTCGTTCCACGAGTTTTTTCGTCTTGCGATTTTTTCGTCTTGCGAAGCACGGTGTCAGAAAAGTTTTGGAAAAGCTTCAAAAATCACCAAAGTCTTCAAAAACCTCAAAAAAGGCTACCACACCGCGTGCTATGAGTTGTTCCTCGAAGTCAAGTCGCAACTGCACCTCTTCAAGCAATGCACCCTGGGTATTAACGGCTTTAAGAAAAAGGAAACAAACTTGCAAGACGTTTCTGTCTTGCGAAGCAAGCCCATAGGGAAAATCGTCTTGCGAAGCAGCTCGAAAGACCAAAAACCCTTTCGTCTTGTGGGTTTTTTGTCTTGCGAGGCATTCGTCTTGCGAGGTACCACTGTATGCATTTTATGTTTGTATGCTCCTTATTCTTTTTCCCCCTTCCCTTTTTATTTCCTTCTTTTATATTTTATCCTATTTTCTTCAAACAATTTGAATGTTTTCCTTTATTATAAAAATTGCAATAAGACATTTATGTAAAAGGTTGTTCTTTCAATCCTCTGCATGTAAGTCCCCCTCTACATCCTTTGCCTTCCTACCAGTGTTCAAAACTAGCAAGGCGCCAGGTGCATTTTGCATCTGGCTTCCAACCACTTGTGACCAAGTGAAGATGCCTGGGCACCAGGATGGCACCTCCACCACCTGGGGATCATTGGATCTGGACTGCTTTCACACCCTAATACCCCATCCTGTTGAATTATGTCAGTTATATTTTATCTGCACTATCAGAATAAATTTCTGGAACCAAAATGCTTTTTCTGTGCAGCCTGAGAAGGAGCAGTTACCATTAAAAAAAGAGAGGTCGGAATATATATGTGGACTGTGCCCGAATCAAGTGACTTTTCTTCTTTAAGTTCTCAAAGCTCAAACATTTGAACCAGCCAGATGTTTAACTGAGAATCAATCACAGTCAGTCCATCATTTGAAAAAAATTACTTTAGAGCCATCTGGCCCCAATATGGTAACTAGACATTCCATTTTGGCGATTGCAACCTTGGTTTAAGAAGCCATTTGGCACCTAACTTATATATCTGAGTTTCTAACACTGTTTCCTACTCCCAACTGATTTGCAATCACCAGTTTTTGACTGCCAAGGGAATCAGCTGCCAACCCAATCACTGTGTTGTGCCACACTCCCGTCTCTTCTGGGTGGCCATCTCGGCTGATATCAGATCAAATTCCAAGAAGGCATTAACAATGGAAGATTCCAACTCCAGTTGTGTGGAATATTCAGAGAACTATTCCCATAGCTTACTTTTCCCATCAAGCCCAAGTGAAATAGAAGGTAGCCCAGCTGGGGCCATTAAAACACAAGTCCTCAATTTCAACTGACCTAGGCCTCTTTTGGCACATGGGTGGACCCTGAAAATGCTGATTTCTCTTCCAAACTGGGAAGCATGCTGGATCAGTGACTTAGTGACAGAATAAGCAATTCCATGAACTGTTCATTAACCTCAACTGTGCCTACACCACCAGAAGTTTGTGTATTCCAATACACAATGCTGTTTTCAAAGCCTTTGCAAACAGCTACACCAGCCTGGAGCATAGCTGTCAATGTTTCCCTTTTTTAAAGGGAAATTCCCTTATTCCGAACAGGATTCCTCGCAAGAAAAGGGAAAAGTTGACAACTATGGCCTCGAGGTCTCTGGCTTCCAAATATCTCTTCTGCAGCTTTCGCAAATAAGAAAAAACCCACCACCACCCCATAGTCGTGCCATAGCTGCCCTTGATTTAGAATGGAATAATTATTTTCCCTCCCAGTGGTTTACAAGCTGCAAGTTGCCGCACAGCCCCGCCCCACAGGGAGTTAGTCAACCAGCTGACCAACAGGAGCCACCCTCCCTCCCCAAAAGGAACGACTGCAATTTAATTGCATAACCACAAGACTTTGGCTCCACATGCTTCAGAGTGACTTGAAACCAAGAGGTTTAGAACAGCATGTAACTTCCTAGGAATAGTAGTAAGGTTTTGTTTCTGGGTAACGGGCCTCCTCAGACAGAACCACAGTGTGCTAAGCCTTGCGTCAAGAGATGTCCTCGGCCCAACAGCAGAACTGTTCTGGAACTACAGGATGAAACTATCAAGCCTTAGCTCAGGGGTCAGCAAACTTTTTCAGCAGAGGGCCGGTCCACTGTCCCTCAGAACTTGTGGGGGGCTGGACTATATTTTTTTGGGGGGGGGGAATGAACGAATTCCTATGCCCCACAAATAACCCAGAGATGCATTTTAAATATAAGCGCACATTCTACTCATGTAAAAGCACGCTGATTCCTAGACTGTCCACGGGCTGGATTTAGAAGGCGATTGGGCCGGATCTGGCCCCTGGGGCTTAGTTTGCCTATCCATACCTTAGCTCTGGGTTATCTGCGGGGCCTGCCTGGTGTTTTTATATGAGTAGAATGTGTCCTTTTATTTAAAATGCGCCTCTGGGTTATTTGTGGGGCATAGGAATTCATTCATTATTTTTTTTCCAAAATATAGTCAGGCTCCCCACAAGGTCTGAGGGACAGTGGACCAGCCCCCTGTTGAAAAAGTTTGCTGACCCCTGCCTTAGCTTCTCTGATGAAGATAATACTGTACAGTATTTTTTAGTGTGTTGGTTTTAATAAGTTCAGAAACCAAGGCATGACAGCACAGACAGCTAGAACATGGAAAACTACCCTTGGGTTCATCTAGCTCATTACTGTCTATACTGATTGGCAACAACTTTCTGGGGTTTCAGACAACAGTCATTTCCTGTTCTATCTGGAGACTGGTCCTGGGGGTTTCTGCATGCAAAGAAATGTTCTACCACCAAGCAATGTCCCTTCAGCACTAGACTGTGGCTCAGGCAACCCAGTGACTTAGCCACAGTCACCCCAGTAAGAATATCCAGGAGGTAGTTAAGGTAGAACCCCAACACAACGTTCTTTAAAAATCCAGAGTTCAAGGGTTGCCCAGTTTAGAATTACCATACTAGTTCTGAAACTACAGATGAAATAAAGGATTATTATTACAGTCACACCTCGGGTTAAATATGCTTCAGCTTGAGCGTTTTCAGGTTATGCTCTGCGGTGACCCAGAAGTTAAGGGAATGCGTTACTTTCGGGTTTCGCCGCATGCGCAGACGCTCAAAATGACATCGTGCACATGCGCGGAAGCGGCATATCGCGACTCGCGCAGAAGCAGGTTGCGTTCGCTTTAGGATGTGAACGGGGCTCCGGGACAGATCCAGTTTGCATCCAGAGGTACCACTGTATTATTATTATTATTATTATTATTATTATTATTATTATTATTATTATTTTCTCATTATTATGGAGCAAGCAATCTTTGGAGCATCCAAAGCAAACTTGGCGAAAAGATAAAAAGCTTGGAACTACCACATGACTAGACTCAACTATGTTTCTAGCTAAATGGTATTTAATGCAAATTGAGGGTTTGCAGGCTCCCAGTTAGTGAACTTGTTTCCAACACTCACTTTCCCCCTACTCTATTGCTCTGTGACAAAGTGATTCCAACAGCACTTTCAACCACACACAAAGGCTGTCTGAACATTCACAAAAACAAGCCACCACAGGGCGTTCCTAGGTAGGCTTGGTTTTTCTACATTTTGCTGAGAATACTAGTGGGAAGTGCTTTCTATTACACGTATCTAGATTTACAGTCCAAGCACTCCACTACACCTCCAAGGCTCTGTGTGGCGGAGCAGATAATCCACTTGTTTTTGAAAGAGATAAAATACATCAGAGTGACACAATCAATTTAAATACCTTCCTACTGGTTTAAT